TTCTTTTATTTTTCTACTTCATTTTTTAAATTAGCGATCTCAGTTATGAACCAGAGCATGATTCAGCAAAACAACGTAGCATTATCAGTTTTGCAAATCCAATTTTTTGGAAAAAAAATTCTGTCTAGCATACACAATACTTCTGTTTCTGCTTAGTCCCCCCTCCAAGGTAAAAAAAAACTCAATTCAAGACTGGCTGCAATAATTCCTCTTTAATCGAAACTTCTTAACTCTTATAACTGAATAACTAAGCTTGTTTCTCGGCCGTCAAGATAGACATCTTAAAATAAAATGCYGATTGTTAATTTGTTTATATTTTTTTCCCCGTATATAAAAGACGTAGGCTGTTTTGAATGTATAACACAGAAGATCAAGGGGTTAACAAAAGATTCAAATCAGTAGAATTCGCAAAAATATACCTCCCACTTGGAACATAATTTGAGGTTTTTCCTAAGAGTTGATCAGTAAAACAATTGTAAAATATATACTTACTTATATCTTTAAAATGGCTATTTTATTTTCTTATTCTTATGGTACTAAATGTGAAGAAACTTAGTTATAAAAAATGTCCTGCGGGGTTCGGTTCGGATCCCTCCCCCACAAACGTCAATCAAGGTCAGATACACTCACCCAAATCATTCTAGAACTGAAACTAGACTTCTTAAAACATTTGTTTTAAAAAACACGTTGTAACAGATATTAGATTTGTGAAACTGAGCTCGAATCAACACTATAAAAAAATAAGACAAATCTAAACAGCTACTTTTTGACTTAATAAACGAAGTCGATTCTTTGCAGCTATTAAAGACGTCATGTCTTGGTATTCAGACAGCTAAATTATTAATATATATTTTTTAATTGAAATATTTTTAAACAACTCGGTCAGTGCTTTCAAGTTATTTGGCCACATAATAGAGGCGATGACGTCAATCAGTAGGAAAACACTTGCAATCATCAACAAAATCAGTTCATTCACGGCGTGAAAATAAAATGAAAAATAATAATCAAAAGTAATATAAACCATAAAGATGAGTTCAAGTGCTTTTGGTTCAGTATTCTGAGGACCTCGAAGCAAGCAGAACACTACTAGATTCGGATTTGGGATCCTATTAATTTCTGAACTCCTTGTAGTTGATAAAAGTAAAAAAAGATGATGATGAACTTGAACGTTTTTGGAAGTATTTGTATTCTTGTTCTCTTGGCGACTGTTTCTTTGCAGAGTACAAGTAAGTCCAGTCCGTTGATATTTCTTATTCAATTTCAATTTTTAGATACTTAAAAAGCGATTTAGATAGAAGGTCTATTCAAATATTTATAGTAAACTATTTTATCAGTACGTACAATTTCAACAATTTCCTCTTTTGTTGCTGTTACAAGGCGAATAAACCATCCCATTTTATACCCTTCCACGGTTTTTTCAACCTTTTACATACACTAGTTAGCAAAAATCCATCGATAATGCTAGAAAAAAAACACCTCAAAATTGGTAAATTTACCAAGTTTGAGAATGATAAATTGGAAACAGGCGAAAATGTAGTCATGCGAAGTCATGAAATTTTACAGATGTTTGTATGATGGGGGTCACAAGCTTGCCCCACCGTACGAAACCTCTGTAAAATTTCCCAACTTTACGGAGCTAAATCGTTGCCATTTTCCAACCTATCACCCTCTAACTTGGAGAATTTGCTAATTTTTAGGTGCTCTTTCCAATGGTGTTGATCGATTTTTGCTAACTTGCTCATATGAAAAGTTGAAAAAGGGTTATGAAAAGAGGTTTGAGCTCCAGGGATGCATGATTCTCGCTATCAAGCTATGCGCTAAAATTGCCTGTGTTTGCTTGGTCCGCGTAGCAAAACTGACAATCCAAATAGCCTTATAATATTCTCTGCTCAAAGTTAAGTTCTTCTGCACACATTTGCAGTAGATTTATAAAAATTGGACAATTCAAAACATTTTAATTTAGAACAGCAAAAAGAAAAGGCCACAAAGTTACAGTGCTTGTTTTGCGTTGTTTACATCAGAGGCTGTTTCTATTTTACAATATTTTTACAAGTATATAATAATCAAAGTTTTAACGCAAAATCTATCAGACTTATTCAATTCAAGTTKTATCAGTATGATATCGAAAATGATGTTTGAAGTTAAATTATGCATTCATTTGCAAAATCATTGTCGGTGGGTCGCGTCGGTCATCAGTCAGTCAGTCGGTCAGTTAGTTAATATATCGCTGTGCTTATGGTTGTTTCATTGGTGAAAACAAGACACTAATCCTTTATATCTCAAAACCAACAGCAACGACAGCAGCATCAAACACAACCGCAGCAGCAACAACAACAGCAGCAACAACAACAGCCGCAGCACCAAACACAACCGCAGCACCAAACACAACCGCAGCACCAAACACAACCGCAGCACCAAACACAACCGCAGCATCAACAACAACCGCAGCACCAACAACAGCCGCAACAGGAGCAACAACAGCAGCAACAACAACAGCAACTAAATCAAGTAAGTTTGACAACCTGGAAATCTTTAACATTTATCATTTTCATATTTCAAAATTTAAAACCATCATTATACTTTTACCCCTGCTGACTGTGATATATATAACATATAAAGCTAAGACCGAAATGATAATGGGAAGTACGTTAATTATCTAGAGATACATCACGTGGAATGTTCATAAATTGTGCACTGACAGAAAACATGAAGGATTTTAACACGTTTCATATCGACTAMATACACTTATTTCAATAAAGTTAGTCACCAAAAACCTAGAAAGCTGAGATCAGTGAGCATCATGGGAAGCTTTTCATATCAAAAAAGCATATATATACAAAGCTTTTTTAATACAAACTGCAGCTCGATGATGCTCAGAAGAGGTGAGACTGTAACCGGTAAAAGATTGGCAAGTCCATGAACAGTTAACAAGCGGTTGAACGTGTAAAATGAATCTACCCATAATCCTTGGCGGCCTCAGCTTTATAGTTTTTCGGGTGACTAACTTTATTGAAATAAGTGTATCTCAAATGAATACATACGAGAATAAATATGTCGCGAATAACTTGAAAGCACTGACAGAGTTGTTTTAAAAAAGTGTTACAACTATTAATATAGACCATATGAAAAAGCGCGTGCCCCTTGAGATACCTTAGTTCATCAGTTGGTGACAACAATGCTCTCATTAGAAAGAGTATATTGAAATCAAAATTTCAGTGTAATAACATTAAATGATAAAAAGCTACAGCTGTTTGGAATTAGAAAGGTTTGTATGGAAACAACCAAGGGCCTACCAGCCACGCTATCATGTTTTCGGTACATTTCAAATGCTTCTAACTCTTCAGGGATTTGATATATAATGACAGAACTCTTCCAAATTACTAATTTAGACGTGGTCTTTCCTGTAATGAAAATATATTTTTGAAATCCCTAATTGTTCGTGGTGCTCGTTCCCAGTCTTATACTAATTTTTCACAGTTGTCTATATAGGCGGTGGTCGTCACGAACCGCAAAGCACGATGGTACAAATTGAAATTTCTACTCATAATAATTAAGTCGCTCTGTAATTCAATGGATATTAACGGTCTTCTTCCATATTTTTCGACAATCTCCGACATACATATAACAACTCTTTCTAGAAAATCTGGGATAGTAAATGGGTATTACTGGATCTGCAAAGGAGAGCAGTTTCATGTGCAGAGATTGGACGACTCTCTTGACCTCTGGCCTTAYTTCCATGGCGTTGCTATGTTAGGGACCACCGCACCGTTTTAAACCCATACAGAACAAGAAAAGTATATTCAAATCATATTTTTATTTTAGTTTGAAAGTAAGAAATAATTCGCAGGCAGATATAATCCTAGAATACTTTACGGTACGCAGTAATAAAACTATATTTTGGAACGAATAGTGACGWGTGATGTATCGCCGCCGATACTCGATATTCGTGAAATTCGCGAACTTAAGACGAAGGGGCCCCTTGGGGCTTTTGCTCTTTTACTTGAAGATTACTATCTATAGAATGTAACTGTGCTAAAAAAAATGACGGATTCTAACTTTGTTCGCTGTAGGATTCACTTGGGTTGCTACTAAATTCAATGTTTCACGAACAAATCAAAACACGCAAGACCAACTGGACAAATTTTAGGTTCTGAAATACTTTATCTTGTTATCTGATCTTGAGAATCCATCCAGGCGTAGTTCATACCTCCATCTTAACACTGTATATATGAAAGTTTTGTATAGGTGTTCAAAATATTTTCTTAACAAACGTAATAAATCAAACACTTGTGGAAAATAAGTCCACCTAACGTTCATATATGTCTACTGCTGTAAAGCTACATATTAATTATTTTGATATGTAATCGCCGGTATAGGTTGAGGTTAGGCATGGTTGGGTAGTTTTATATAAACCAACTGGCTGTTATTACAGGAGAAAGTAGCACATATTTCTAAAAGTTTCTTTTCAAGATGGCTGTTACGAAACTCAAGTGCATTGAGCATGCATACGGCCGTTGCTTGAATTGATCCC